GAAAAAATTTCTAGGGCCGGCCAAGTGGCGCATTGGTTAAGAACTGGCTTGGAACGCCAGAGGGCCCCGGTTCGGATTCCACATATGAGGGCCAGTGACACTGCCCTCTACAAAAAACAAAAAGAAAAAAGAAAAAATTTCTAGTAACTTTCCAAAGCATGAGTTCTTTCCAAACTATTTTTTTTCTAGCTGAGTCATCCTGCCACCTGTTGGCAGCTCAGCGGCAGCTCAGCTGGGGCCTGGACTCGAACTGCTATTGCTCAGAGCTCACACTCTTGAGTGAGCTCTTAACCAACTGAGCCATTCGGCAGGCCCCCAAACTATTTTTAATTGTAAAAATGACATACCTGGGCTGGCCGAGAGGCTTAGTTGGTTAAGAGTTGACTTAAGAGCACGAGCTCTGAGCAACAGGGCCGCCGGTTTGATTCCTGTATGGACCAGTGACGCTGCACCCAAGCTGAGCTCTCGCTGAACTGCCAACAGGTGGCAGGATGGCTCACCTGGCGTAACAACAAGAATGCCTTTTCGATGGTGGGCTACGCCCACCCGCAACTAAGATTGAACACAGCACCTTGAGCGTAGAGGCCATGAGCTGCCGACGGGAAGCCAGGTGGCGATTGGCGTCCTCCACAACGAAGACTGAACAACAACTTGGCTGGTCCCTTCCCAATTCCCCAATACCATTCCCCTCTCCCAATTCCCCAATAAAATCTTTAAAAAAAAAAATGACATACCTGTTCTAGAAAAATATTAATACCTCCACATATGTACAAAGAGGCAGAGGTGTACAAAAAGAAGGAAGTAGCAGAATGTTCATTTATAGCATTAGTTGAAATATCAAATAACTGGAAGCAAGCTAAATATGCATTATTTGAGAACTGGTTAAATAAACTATGGTATCCATAATTAGAATATTATTCAACAACTTAAAAAAAAATGAAATGGGGCCGGCCAAGTGGCTCAGTTGGTTAAGAGCTCACTAAAGAGTGTGAGCTCTAAGCAACAGCGGTTCAATTCCTGGCCTGAGGTAAGCTACTGCTGAGCTGCCAACAGGTGGCAGGATGGCTCAGCCAAAAAAAAAAAAAAGATGAAGTGGCTCTATGTACATTATCAAAAAAAAAAAAAACAGGGCCAGCCAAGTGGTGCGTTGGTTAAGAGTTGGCTTCGGACGCCAGCTCTGAGCAGCAGGGCCTTGGTTTGAATCCCACCTGAGGGCCAGTGACACTGCCCTCTACAGCTAAATGGTGAACAGCAGCTCAACCTGTAGCTAGGCTGCCAGGAGTCGCCGGAGACGGTGTTCGTTGCAGCCCCTGCTGCGGTGGGCTGCCATAAGCTACCGTGAGTAGGTGGCAGCCAGCATGAGTGTCCGTGAGCCACCGTGAGCGTCTGTCCAATGGCCAGCAAGCGACTGCCTCACCTGGGGAGAGCGCAATGATAATACCAACATGGGCCAGTGAAGC